AAAAAAAAAAAAAAAAAAAAAAAAAAAGACCTGAGAGCCTCTTTGCAATCTTCAAATTAGCGCAATAATTCACCAAATCAACAAACTCAGGAAAAAATGATTTGGTTATATACACGGATAATTAACCCTGATAAACAACAGTTTGTAGAAATATGATTTAGAAAAGGACAAATGACTCAGAAAGCCCTGAAGCAGCTATGCCAAAGTTAAATATGGCTGTATAGAAGATAACATGGGTTCGAGCACCATTTAGAGAACTGATACTGATTGGTTGGTGTGATCTGTGAAGAAGTTAAAGTGTGACAATACAAAATGATGTTCCTAAAACAAGCACGTTCCAGCACTGTCAGGGTGACGGTAATGAGACCCGATTGGCCAAATCTGAAGTACCGCCTCCAGAGATCTGCTCATTAGACGCTAACTGGAAAATCAATCAGATGCTCATTAGCCTAAATGACACCTTAAAATCAGGCAAACAGTCTTGGATTCAGCAGTTCTTTATAGATCTGTTTCCTGAGTGAAAACCTACCCTCTAAATGTCACTTAGCAAAGTCAAACACCTAATTTAACCGCACCAATGAGCATCCCTAGTGTAAAGCACTTTAAAACCTCTGATAGAGAGCCAACAGTCTTGTAACCTCTAACAGTTCTGAGCTAACAGACCAGGGTAACTCTAAACCTCACAAATGATTGGCATATATAGACCATTAACAGTTTCTACTGGTGTTATGAATGCCAGTTTATAGCCAAGTCCAGCCGACTTGGACCAAATCCACTCTTGTTCCATGTACAATGGTTTTCACCGCATATATTTTACATTAGCAACCACAAAAACACCTTGAGCTTCTATTGTTGTGGTTTACTTTGTCCATTCAGCTGTTTCTGATAGTTTTTTTACTCTTTAGCACCAGTGTGTGATCACAAAGAAGCCTCAGGGCTTCAGAAGGACAGAGTGTCTTGCCTCAGATGTGCATGAACAAATGCGAGACATCCCAAGTTCCTACAGATGTGACTGGCAGTCAAAGACAACGATGCGGCCCTATTATCTTGGTTGGAGTGCGAAAAGACCCGAGAGATTTATGTGCACTCCACTGCATCTACAAAGCGCCACATTAGTGGTGCTATTGGGCCATTCTTATGGAGAGATTCCTCACAGAGGACCTGTAAAGAGAACCACTCAGACCTGGTTGACAAAGCGCAGTAAGTTACGAAACGAGAAGTTTGTAAACCGTATCACGACGACATGGCACAGAACCAGTAGTTTAGTGCTGCAGAGCTCACTGTATTCAGTATAGTCCAAACAGCTTTGCTCATTTTATTTATTGTGCACTTACACAGAAGTGTCCCAGACTTGGCTGTATTACCGAGTCGCTCATCGTGTCATGGACTTTATAGATGTCAACAGACTCAACACAACATGGCACAGAAGTAGCACAGTGTTTAGGAGAACCTGTACAGAGAAGTAGAAATCCAACTATATAAAAAAAATAACATTTAAATAATATCATAACAGTTTAACACACTATGGTAACCTAGCTTGGGTGTAGCACCTGTCGGTTAGGAATATGGCAAAATCCCTGTTTTGATATGATGGGTTGTTTCAGAAACCAGTACACATGAGTGAATGAGTTGCCAACCCAACAGTGGCTGCACTGTATCTAAAGGCTGAGAGGTTCCTGTTCGTCTGAAATGCAACCAAAGGCAAG